CCGTATGCACAATTCTGTCCCTATGCCGCTCCACTAGTAGCGAAACGTCTGTTTGCCCGATGCAAAACGGTTTTCAATCCGTTGATGTTCAATGACGAAATCAGTATTCATTAGTTGGTTAAGTAATATATATTTCGAGGGAGCAAAATAATATTTCGAGGGAACGAAATAAAAAAAAACGTCATCATGCCTGTCCCTTTAGGGGCTCCGTACATGTACGACTACTCGTACGCCTCTGTGCAAGTGGACTTTGGTATTTATTGCTCTATAAATATTTATTTTGTCCATTTTTCTAAAGAAGGGAAAAACCATTCGTGGTTACGCAATTTCACGTTGTTTGTATTGATCCGGTCGGACAAAGTGATCAGTGGGGAGAGACTGGCTATCCCCACTACATAGTGGCAAGGATAGTGTCGCTAGGCTTTATCCATAGAGACTTGCATTTGTGTTTGAAGACAAAAACATGTCAAAGAGTTTCAGTATATTTCGGTTAATGACGTTAAACTTATAGTGATGGCAATGGACTTGAATCAACGTCCTCATCGTTGCAGTGGCGGGGGGGGGGGCTGGGCTGGTACCATCTGTAAATGGACGCGCTGTTCAAAACTGAACTTTGTTTGAAGCCATACAGGAAAATTGGGTACATAAATAGAACCGGCCTACCAAACAAATACCGTTCAGAATTGAGAATTGGGTCAGGATATTGCGCAATTTTCATGCGTGCTCGGAATGGTCTCCTACACGGTTCGCATGGTGTCAAGCAGTACGTTCCCACCACGACCTGCTCTCATACGCTTGTTTTGGACCCGTGGGCGTCGCCCAACAAAAAATTCTAAGGGGGTGGGGGGGGGGGGCAAAGCACATTCCCCCCCCCCCAAAAAAAAACCCTGGTATTTTCTCTAGCATATTTTTTAATTTATCATTTTTTCGAGGGTGGGCGGGGTACATTTACCCACCCCACTCCCATTGACACCCCTGCAGACGCCCGTTTTGTTATATGTGTATTCAATTAGGCCTACTAGCAAATATGACTTACCTCTTTTTCTTTTCTTTTTCTTCTATTTTCCCTTTCCTTTTTGTGTGCTTTTCCGGGTGGCAGGACGCCCATGATTGGACCATTAGCATGTTCAAAACTCTAGCACACATATGCAAATTAGGAATAGTCTGGCTGTGTTTTAAGTCAGTGTTGGGTTTTGTATAAGGTGTCTGGGTGAGATCCAAAAACAAAATTTTCTTCAAAGTTACATTGTTACTTATCCATCCAATATGCAGTAGCACATTACATATTATTATGAGCATAATGGACAATTAAAGGGGGATTATTTTTGAGATGGAGTATGTAATAATTCACATTGAACGTTGAAAATAAGTAACACGCGTTGAAAATAACAACACCTATACGATTTAAATCCATTACCTACTGTGAGATAGAGGAAGCAAGTTTCCCACCAGGGGTTACAATTGGCAACGAGGTGAAAATTAAGTAACCCCTGGGGAAGAGGTTGGGTCTACAATGTCCTCAACAACAGCCTCGTTCCAAGCAGATCAATAGTTCCCTCTTTGAGGCGTCTCTCAGAGGAACCGTGCTCAGGAGTTTCGATGGAATCACTGCAAGACATTTAGGTTGTCGTACTCTTTTCCCCTTCAATTAAAATTATCGTAACGATACATTTGGAGAACGATAGTGAGACGAAATGGGCCTTGGTGGATTCCAACCTGTCTATCCCTGGCTAGCTCATCTCACTATAGGCTACTGTGGCTGCTTGTCGAATGCCGTTCTTTAAAAAAAACTTTAATGTACCATAGTTGTACCCTCGATGGCTGCGTGCCATTTTTTAAAGTCAATATTTCATTTCTTTGATGTTAGCCTTTTATATCCATCTTACTTCATTGGAGTGTGACATTTTTATCATATGATTTATGTTATTTTGGCTGGACCAGTATACTTTTGCTTTGTTTTTATTTTTATGGAATCTATTGTTGTGTTTTTTTATGACGTTTTTATATTGTAACATTATTGCAATGGTGTGGCGTCATTTCTTTTCTCATGAATAAACATGATTCGCTATGGGATCGATGCATAGTAGGCCTACTTTTTCAATCTCGATCGTGAAAAAAGCTTGCTTCGTGTATCCTGATTCGATACCGCAACAGCAATTAAGTAAAGTATTTAAATTTTGTATGTGATGTTTATTCATTTCTAACGGGTATTACGTGTTTTAAAATAGAAATTTGAGTTGTTACACATCCACAGAACGATCATCCCTTTCATAATAAGTAGTAATACCGCATATTGGATGGATAAAGATGGTTCAATATTTTAATATCATACATTACAAAAAAATCGTGTTTTCGATCTCACGCCGCGACAAACTTGTTCCGTATGTACACCGGACATAGCATACAAAAAAAAAACCAAACCATTCCTTGCCTAATTTGCACGTGCAACATTTCTGAACATGCAAATGATCCAGTGCCATGATGACGGAGCAGGTAGTGGGAGCGTACTGCTCAACACCACGGGAACGAGGTTGCCAAACAAGAGTTCGGACTTTTGGGGGCTTATCCTTTACAGTAAGCTATAGATACATAAGATTTGAAGGTTTGCATTGTGAAGATAGCAATACTGAGATACGGGTTAACGGTTTCTGTGAGGTGACATTGCCAGACATCACAATATCCATTTCCACTTCTATGCTGATGACACCAGCTGTACCTGGCCTTTTCACCTGGTGCTGATACCGCCACATCCTTCAACCAGATGCACGACTGTCTCTGCCACTTCCAGTCATGGATGACTCGCAATTTTCAACGTCTCAAAGTCGAATAAACACAGATTCTCATACTTGAATCTCGATTTGATCACTCCAATTTCATCTCACCACATCTTACCATCACCCACCACGAGTTGTCAGTCTCCAACTGATGTGCTCGAAATCTAGGAGTTGTGTACGGCCGTCTGTTCAGTATGGATTCACAAATCTCAAGTTTGTGCAGAAGCTAACTTCCACCTGCGCAACATAAGCAGAATCCGCAAGTACTGTGACAGGACACAGCAGAAAATGCCATCTGTGCTTTTGTTTCTTAACGTCTGGATTGTTGCAACGCCCTGCTCGTTGGCCAACCTGCTACGTCTATATCACGTTTGCAACGTGTCCTGAATAATAATATAATATGTAATATAATAACGGAAATTTATACCGCGCCATTATCCACCATAAATGACGCTCATGGCGCAAACAAAAATTATAACAAATCAGAAATAACAAAACAATTAAATTTAACTAAACAAGAATATTCTGAGTTGTCTGAAACAAATAGGTCTTTAGGGCAACTTTAAATTCAGAAAGCGATGAGATGTTGCAAGGGGTAGTTTGTTCCAAAGATGAGGACCTGCGTGAGAAAATGATCGATCACCCCCAGATTTGTGAGTGTGAGGGACAACCAGCAAAGAAGCATCAGAAGATCTTAATCGCCTGGATGGATTATATGGAGTTAATAGGTCTATGTTGTATTCAGGAGCTGAATCAATGCAGCTCGGGTCGTTGTGCAATGTGGAAAATACAACCACATTTTACCTGTTCTGAGAGGACTACATTGGCTTCCGGTATCCAAGAAGATCAGTTTCAAGGTCTGCCTCCTTGTGTTTAAGATCCTGCATGGTCGTGCTCCTCAGTATCTCCGTGAGGTCTCCCTCAATCAAACTCTGGGTGAGAGACGCAGGCTTGCAAGGCTGGCTATGTTTTACAAGATAAATAACCAACAAGCTGCAATTTACATCTCAAAATATTTGTCTTCCAAGAACCATAGCAACCCCACACGAACAGAAAGTTCTCAGGCTTACTGCATTCCTGACTCAGTTCGAGACTACCACAGGATGTCATTGTCTCATCGCACTGGGAGGAATTGGAATGTCTTGCCACAATCTTTCATCCAGGCACCAACTGACAAAACATTTCGAGGGGCTTTAACTAAAAAAAATAAGCCTACTCTCACATCACACCCACCACAAGTGATGTAGTCTTCAATTATGAAGTTAGCAATCAATTGGAAGAAGAGGTCGGGTTCTCATACTTGCTACAGAACCAAGAACTAGCTAACCAAGAACAACAATCCGCAGATTGCCTTCGCGATCGCCAAGGCAGCACTTGCCATTTGGAATCTGTCAAACATCAGTATTGGGCATCTTCAAAGGAAAACTGAAGTCTCGTCTACATGTACTTCATAGTCATTTCACTTAGACTTGGGCACGACTATTTTTTCTTGTGTTAAGGCGACTTGATTGGCTTTAGTTCCGGATATATAAATCTATATTATTATTGTTACAACCTGATCTAATTAATAGGGCGACAGTTTATTAAATTTGCTCTAATAGGGCGACACGCCTTATTATGAAAACCGCAATTTTGACCCATTTTAACAAGGGCTAGGGCTAGGGCTAGGGGTTAGTGTTACGGTTAGGATTAGGGTACACGGTACACAAGTCTATGGATGTGTCGCCCTATTGTGGTTGTAGGGAAACTCAGCGTATCTTTTCGTAATAGATGCTATGTACACGTTTTTCATATAGATGAAAGCAATGAAATTGTCCACAACAAAACACACACGAAGAAACAGCATGCAGTCAGTCTTACATATTCAATATCACTTTTTTAATGTTTTTCTTCATTCTCTTTTTGTGATAGTTTTTCGGGAAAATACAACATAGTTGATGTTATTTCAAAAAGTACAAAGCCCAGAAACTAATGGAAAAGAATAATAAATAAAGACTTCTAAACAAAAATCAAAGAATTAAACCGTTCATTAAAAGTGGCAGTTTGTGTTAACAACCCTGATTCAACCAAATGTAATGACCAAAAAATGAAGGATTTATCGAGTAAATGTACATAATGTAGAGCATAGCCGAAATCTGTGATTCTGATAGATCATATTACCAAAATTATGAGAGGTTATTCTCACTTTTTGGGTTTTTTTTTGTTTAAAGCAAATCAAACACTTACCTTATACAGGTAGATCATTGCGTAATTAAATCACACAAAAATATTAATGATTAGTATCGGCCAACTTTTTTTTAATAACCTTGCATTTTAAATACAGGATACAACACTTTTAAGAATAAAGATATATTGAAATACATTTGCTGAAAACTTCACTTGTCGCAAATTTGGGTTTCAGAGGATCATATTGGCCAGTTATTAATATCCAAAGCTGCACACACCAATCGAATTTCCAGGGTAGTGGCCAATGCCAAAAGACTGCATGTCAAGCACCTAAAACCTGCATCACATTATCTTAGTCACACGACTATAAAACTAGTAGGCTCTTAAGTCAGTCACTTTCACATTATGTGCTTCTGTTATTAAAAGGTCTCATATCAAAACCAGTCGCCACAAACACTGTACAGCTATCTCTGATGAGTTCCAATCTCATGTTACAGATAAATAAAAAGTCAAACTAATCTTGGAAATCAAAGATTCTTTTGTACACTCGCTCTGATTTCCTTTGCTGCGCGCCACAACGTACTTTATAGCCAATGTATATGCTTCACCCATTCCGGATATTTTTCGCACGCATATCCGTTAAACGAGTCTGAAAACAAACCGACTACACTTCTCTTTAATTATTGTACACTTACAAACTGTCTGGCAACAATACATGCAGATCGGTCAAGGGAGAGGCACTGAAAATCAAGACAGTGTGTATTAAAGATGTTAATTCGTTCTTGAAGATGATTCTGTGTTGGTTTTCTGTACAAACCAGAATAGCAAGACACACATGCATTGTTAACGGAATTGTCCACAAGTAAATGATGATGTCTGGAAAACTTGCGTATTTGAGCACCACGGCACACATGCAGATTTGTCCCGGTGTGTGCAGGCTATGCACTTGTCATTTAAGTGGAACTAAACAGCATTTCCAAGATACAGTACAACAAAAATTATTCTGAATGACATGTACTTCAAGCAATGTGTTATCTACGTTTTCAATGGTAAACAACGTGCGAATGCAATAACAGTATGCATTTGAATTTTTATAACTAAATGTCGGTAATATTGTACAGAAATACTTGATTTCTAAAAGTCATGATGATTTCTGTTTACCTACATGTTCCTGAAACTTCTGAGTTGTACGTTGTTTGAACAAAAAAAAATATATGATTAACTAGAGGCTGTGTAAACTGCTATTTGAAAACCCATTTTATAGGGGAAATTAATTATGAACGAATGAACGAATGAACGAATGTGATAAGGCCTACAGAGAATAGGGTGAAAAATAACACAGGTCAACAAAATAAAGGCTACGTTTATGATGAACCGACTTCTACAGAATATTTGTCACCCAATTATTATTTTTTTTTTAACATTCCTGCCCTTTCAAAGCTACACACGGCAATTTCACAGTATTATGACATTGTACTGATCACCAGCAGTCTGAGCTGGGCACCAGACCTCTTTCAAATGCTTTGTTTTTTAGTTATTATATGTTAAACGAGGGCTGGCAATACATACGGGAAATTGTTTTGTTCAATGGCGCTACCAAAATTGTAGAACTGCCTCGTAATAATAAGTTACTGAAGAGATACCTAGTAATCCTTGCATTTCATATTCAATTTGAAGGAACACTGGTTCTTTTCATAACGTCGCAGAGCTGACAAACCGACGAATAAGCGAAAACCTTGTTTGGAGTAATTCGCGTTTGAAGTTGGACACTTCTCCGGGCGCCGTATTTTACCCTTAATGTTTCGATAACAAAACTGTTAGTATATATTCTGAATAAAATATGAAACTAAGTATCCACCAGGTCACTTATTTAATCAGAGAAAATGTGCGATTTGATTTTATTTGATCGTAAACGCATTCGTCAGTTTGTCAAATTACATTTATCTGCAATATCCGGTTGTTCTTCACACTGTTTGTATGCTATTCGTCAGTTTGTCGGATCGCGCGTGCGCGCACGCGCAATCCGACAAACTGACGAATAACATTCGTTGGTACTTTGAACGCACACCTTACATAAGCTGGTTACCAGCGAAATTTCGTATTCGTCACTATGTCAAATTATGGATTTGTTTTTGTGAGTGATTCGCCACAAGGGGGGCTCTGAATCTCAAAATCCAGACAAATATTAAGAATTTTGGCATAAATACTTGAAAGAGCAACCTTCATAAAGCCTAAAAATAACAAAAAATCAAAATCGGCAAAATGGTCGATTCGCCGGTTTTTCAGCTCTGCGACGATAAGTAACAACTTTACAAGAGTTACCACTACGACTGGGCATTTTTATTGTTATTTATTACAATTCGAGATTATGGTCAATTTTGTGTGTAGCAAAGCAACAACAAAATGTTTTCGGCCATCTTGTGATCACACAGGCTAGCAAAATACGGTGCTTATACATCACCTTACTGGAAGACAACAAAATAATTAGCATATTCAATACATCTGTGTCTCTACCTATAGGTATTACATTTGCAAAACTTGACAAATCTTCAAAACAATAAGCGTCACCGTGTCAGCAATTTTGGGTTTAGTGTCACATAGTGTGTCCCAAACGCACACAGACAGAACCGTACAGAAGAACTTCAGTCCTTTATTTGATGCGATTAACTCATTATGCACATGCTATATGCATTGCGTTCATACGCAAAATTTGAATAATTATGCCTAATTTACAGTCACATTCAGGCCATTTGAAACCACACATAAACCACTAAGTTATGCCTACAATTTGTTGTTCCTTCACCTAAATAAGTAACTACTATTTTTGTATTCAATTTTTCGGAAGTCATCTAGAAGCTATCCTAATTTTAACCATCTATATATCATTTCTTGTTTCTTTATCTACACCCATTCTTTACATATTTAGATACAAACACATGTTTGTATGAAATAGAAAAATGGCTGAGGAAATAGCTGAGAAATTGCGCATATTGCCTGGCCTCCGGGCATAATCTGTGTACAAACCATTTCAAATACACTAAACCAATTGGGCAAATATACATTCCACAAACCACACAACGTCTGGGCCAAATGTCACGGAGCTGCTGAGCGGAAATTATTGCTTTGCAAATTGATGCGCTAAGCAGAAATCAGCTGGGAACCAGTCTGAAGTAGTATACATTGCATGAGATTTGTGGCTGGTAACCTATTCCTGCTTAGAAATATTGTCTATGCTTAGCAATAGTTTGTGCTTAGCACTTCAGGTCTGAAGTATTGTGGAGTTGGAAATTGGCCAATGCAAGTGATAACAGTTGCCAAGTTTAATGATTGCTGTTGATGTGACATTTCAAAGAGCTGCCGACATAATTAATACAAATTTGTTGGCTGCCTTTATTTTTATAGTACATTTGATCACATTATGCGATCGTGTGTGTATAATAGTTATTATCGGTATGCATCGAACATTCAATAAATTCCAATTACATCACCAACCAATGTAATTCATCATTATTAATTTTTTTCAAACCGCATATCACTGTAACACAAGAGAAGTATATTTTATACTTCTCTTGTGTTATTTTAAGTATTTATACAGCAATCATGTATATAAAGTGTTAAGCCACATAAGGCCAAAAAAAAAGTCTCCGGTTTCTGGTATGCGCGCGCGTCGCCGTAGCCATGCGCGTCGGCAAAATGAAAACGGTTTTTTTTTTTCAATGAAAGATGATGTCTCAAAGCCGCCGAACTCACTGGTTTGACTGGAATCCTGCTGCTGCACAATTTTAACGTGTTTTTAGATGGGGTTATGATCGAGAATAAGCTTTATGTGGCCTCTCTGGTCTCCCATAATATTTGCACTAAGTTTAGTCGGGCACCATTTGCAGTAATCAGCCGACATTTGAAGCAAAAAAAAAACAGGTAAAAAAAAAAGCCGCGTTGCCGCACCACTTTTTGGGCAAGCTCCATACCAGAAACCGGAGACTTTTTTTTTTTGGCCTAAGGCTATGTCTGCCTAAGAAAGTAGAGCCGTGTGGACTACGTCACTGCAGACATTATGCCGGTTAGTTTCCCCGTGTATTACGGGGAACCTCAACACTTTCAAGGCAATGCAGACCTGCACAATTTGCATTTGTCTTAATTTTATGAAATGGATTTATCAGGGTTACCGCACCATTAAGACACCCAGTTTTTCTTCCAGGTCGCGGGAACCCTGTTTAAAAGGACTAGTAATTTACAGCAGCCTTCATTCATCTGACGTGTTAAATGTGGGTTTTTTTTAATTGGAACTAGATAAACATGACAAAAACCTTTTTTCCCCAACAGTCATAAGTGACTAAATCTGTGAGAGAGGTTTTAAAATCCTAATTTTTGTAAAGAAGTATTGCAGTTGACAGGCTACGTACTTGTACACACCACCGTCTTTATTCTACTTTCTCGAGTTCAGGTTCTTCTGCGAAGACGTAGTCTTTCAAGTAGGAATGCAGGAACTCCAATGTGGGTCTAGCAGCGGGATCCTTGTCCCAACACTTGAGCATGAGTTCGTACAGGGCGTCTGGGCAATTGGCCATCTTGGGCATGCGATAGCCTTGCAAAACCTGACGCTTAATTACCTCCTCGTTATTCATACTTTATTAGAGAGAGAATGAATGTGTGTCCACAGTAATTGGATAATTCTTTACATGTCACATACAACAGTCAGCGCTATGGGAAATTCCTACGTACGCTCAAATCAATGTTAGGTTCAAGGGCGGATAATAAAGGCAGGCACTGCGTATACCACCATCTTTTCCTCCAAAAGAATTGGTCAGGTGGTCAGAAATTGCCTCAGATCGCAGCACACGCCGTAATTTTTGGGACCAACTCTTTGGGGAACCAAATTTTTTTGGCCCCCCCCTAAAAAAAAATGGGTTCTGGATCCGCCTTTGATTAGGTTTCGCCCTTCATCGAGACACCGACGCGTCGCGACGTACAAACACTAAACTCAGTGTGTTGCATCCCGAGTGAAAGTTGGAAAAAAAATCACTCGGATGGGATTCGAACCCACGACGTCCTGCTTTCTATAGTGCAGACGTCTCACCACTCGACCGCCGAACTTGCAGGATCGGTTGGTTGGTTTGAATCTGATGTACATGTAGCAGCGGGTACTAAGATGGAATTCGCGTTGGGGTATGTAATTCAATATTAGGTTTTGCCATTCGCCGACGTAGACATACTGACTCCATATCAGCAAGAAATGACGATTTTAAATATTAACAAGGGGCTTGAATCCTTCAAAAACTCAATAATGTTAATTAATCGTAGCTGCACCACAGACATATAACCAAAATACAGATGTAAATCAGAAATACAAGTTTACCTAAATAAGGACACTGTCCATGTGTGACCAACTCTGTCAGCAAAATACCAAATGCCCAGACATCGGATTTGATGCTATGAGGGTTTTGCATGAGAACCTCGGGGGCTGTCCATCTGACTATGACCGGAATGCCTGCAAGTGACACAGAAACGCAAGTCACGCTCAACTTTTGAATAAGATCAATACAAGACACCAGATAATCAAACTGGGATGCTTATTGAAAACGGTATGCACAGTTGCTACAGAAATTTGCTTAGGGACTGTGGAAAAATAATGTTGTTTTAGAAACTGCACCTTTTGTATTCGATGACCATAAAATCATTAAGTGCGGTTTGCCCCAAAGACAATTGACAGTTCGAAAGCGAGGGGTGTGTTATGAAAACCTACTTCTTTCTGTTAATCCCGAATCATTTATCCTTGTCTCCGCAAAACAAGCCACCTTGACGATGTTGGCGTCTCCAACAAGTACATTTCTGGCAGCCAATCGACGATGCATGTAGTTCATGGACTCCATGTAGGCCATGGCAGATGCGATCTAGTAAAAAAGTGATGTTTATAAAAGGTAAAATAATGGGAAATGGCTAGAAGTAAAGCTCGATAAAAGGACAAGGGTAAAATGATTTCCATGCTTACCCGAGCTCCAATGTCAACAAGTTTTGGCAACTTCAGGTTTCGTCCTTCGCCATTTTTAAGGTAATTCAACAGACTGCCGTTGCACATCCACTCCATAACAATGTAGATTGGTTCCTGGATGAAGAACAAGAATTGCGGGATGAAACAAAATTCAAAAAAAGCTTCTACACATATACATTTGGTAGGTGCATTGTTTCCTAAAAATCTAAGCCCTCCCTACAGTAACCTTTGTAGTTGCACTTTCAAATAAGATTTTCAAAATATTGCTGAACAAGACCTTATCTTCCTTCAAAGGACCTGATCCATACCTTAAGTGAACAAATACCACACAGTTGACAGAGGTTTGGATGGTGCAGCTTCTTCATGTTGTTAGCTTCTGCCAGTAAGGCGGATAGACTAGTCCCCATCTTGGGGGTCTTAATGGCCACTGGGGTCTTTCCTTCCAAAACACCTTAAAAATATAAGACAGAGAAAGTCTGTAATCAGAAAAAAGTATAATAGTCAGTGCACCCTGCTGACTCATCAAACTCCCCGATTCAATTACTTTACAGGTAAATTCACATATTGTAATTACTTTAACAAGGCTGTTAAAGAATGAGTTAATTTACATTCTTCTTGTCCACCATTGATTTTAACATTTTTCTCGAATAGCTAAACGTTTCAGCATAAGCAATCATCAAATAGCCTGAACGAACGAAAGAAAGAGAATTATCTGGATATCTCATGTTTTCATTTTCTCAAAAGCAAACTCCTTAGGAAAATGGCACAAGGAACAAAAATTCGCACCTTTCCAAACGTCTGCATACAGACCGACTGCAATTTTTTTTTCCAGCGTTAAGCACTCCTTGGGGATTTCCCAATCATCGTCGCCCAAGTCCACAGTCTTCGGAGTCTCTGTAGGGCAGGGGTAGGTTAGTTTGGTGCACAGTCCGTCAGCTTTACCTGCAAAGAGAAAATCACCTGTGAAATTTAAAATATTTCTGAACGGTTTAGCTGTTGAATTATATGCTAAATCGCTCCTTGACAAACGTTTTCGTTGATTTCAAATGCATAGGATCTGAAATATATATACTGATGTTACCCTGAAATGATACTTCAGGCTAAAGGGTTGCTGATAGGCTTAATGCCATGAACTTGCACAACAAGGAATCACCAAAGAAAAGACATTTTATGACGGCAACAAGCCGAAATTGTAGCAACTTTTTGCGCGGCAATAGCTGTAAGATTGAGGTTACTGTCCAGGATGACATCACAGTTTTGCTCATGAATATGGACATTGGCATTAGCATAAAACCCTAAAAGGCACCAAAGTACCCTGAAAATTGCCAAATGAAATTTTAAAAGAAGTTAAATAGGACACAAATGTGCATTTTTAAGGATAGCATTAAACAATTACATTACATGGGCGCTTTAAATTTGCTTCACGACTAGAATAAATCTGTAATTAAGTTACTTTTATTTTTCTACACAAGTTCCAGAAATCAAACTTTTACCTCACTTTCAATCCAATATGGCCGACTCGTGAATAAGCAGTGCGTTCGATTACTAACTCCCCCCCCCCCCCAGCTTACTCGCGCGTAGTCTGGTTCCCAGACCAAAAGATTCTGACCATTCCTGATGAATCTTAGGTCCGGTAGCCGTTTATTCACGACTCGTGAATAAACAGTGTGTTCGATTACTCCCCCCAGCCTCGCGCCTGGCTCCTCGCGCAATGACAGACATGCGCAGTGGAGCAAAATAAACGAACGGTTTCGGGTAAAGTTTCGTGCAAGGGCTGGAAACTTGGGCGTCGCCAGAATTTTTTTCTAGAGGGGGGAAAAACATGTTTTCCAAAAAAAATCCTGTTTTCTAAACGTATTCTCGATTTATCAGTTTTAAAGTGGGGGTGGGGGGGTAGGGACATTTTGCCCCCCCCCCCATTAAATTTACACAAATATGACTTCTCGCCTCTTTTCTTTTTGTTCTCCCTTTTTTTCTTCCTTTTTTGCTTTTCCGGGGGGGGGGGGATGTTGCCACTGACGCCACTTTTTCTTCATATATCATCTCAATAAAGGTCATGCATTGCAAAAATGACGATAAGACATGAATCTGGGACTGAGAAATATTTCCAATTTTGTTTCCAACTTAGAGTTTTTTGTCTTGACTCTCCATAGACTTTGTACACAATTGCGCAAGTGGCGTCAGGTTGCAACATTTTTCCCAGGCTGCATCCGAGAGCACGTCCACGGCCTCAACGCCCAGCTAATACGCGGGGACGCGCTGACAATAACTCGTAGCCGTAGCTCAGTGCATAGAGCTACCTCGGGTTTGTAGCTCTATACTCCGTGGAAGCCGTTTCGTTAGGAATTTTTTGTCTTGACTCTCCATAGACTTTGTACACAATTGCGCAAGTGGCGTCAGGTTGCAACATTTTTCCCAGGCTGCATCCGAGAGCACGTCCACGGCCTCAACGCCCAGCTAATACGCGGGGACGCGCTGGCAATAACTCGTAGCCGTAGCTCCGTGCATAGAGCTTCCTCGGGTTTGTAGCTAGGCTCCGTGGAAGCCGTTTCGGACACGGTCTGATGAGGCGCCCGCCGGACATTGCATGGCCTTGTGGGATACTTACCCAAGTGACCGGCTCGGCGAGTCGGTCACTTGGGGCAGGCTCGAGTATAAGCGCGATATGTCACGTGAGAGGTAAATCGAACGCGACAGCGCTTGCACGAGTAAGCGCGGGGGGGGGGGGGGGAGGGGAGTAATCGAACGCACTGAAGGCCCATAAACAACCTCCTCCCCGGTGCTTTCTTTATTTCCATCCTCGTTTTCAATAGTAAGCCCTGGATAGCAAATTTTCTTCATGTATCCTGATTCGATATCGTAATGGATTTATACTGTGTACTTGGTGTTGTGCATTACGTGTTTTCACGTTCATTGTAATTATTACGACCACACCTTCTAAAAAAAATAATCATTTTTTTTCCAATGTGTTCATGTTAATATAAAATGTGATACTGCATATAGTCTGGATAAGATTGTTCCAAAAAGATGGTGTTTTCGTAACTCGCACCATGCTCACGCGCCGCCACGAATTGATGCTGTTTTTACCCCAGACGCCACATACAAAAACAAGCGCTAATGTAACGCATATGCAGGCACCAGACTATTCCTCAATTGCATACGTATTCAAAAAATTGCACATACAAATGATCCATTACCAGGGTGAGAGAGCAGGTAGTGATGGGCGTGTACTGCTTGACACCCTGGGAACGAGGTTGGCTCATATACGCCTGCGATCATTCCAAATGACCCGTGACCCATATCATTGTGCACATGCGCAGTTGAAATACCGAACTGGCTAGTTCAGTTCAAAGACTTTACAAAAGAGAGCTCCATCATGACCCCATACAGTGCCATTTCAACAATATCGTTTTCAACTCGAAACTTGCGTACGTTGGTGATGCTTGATAAGCTCAGCGATTGCAGGAAACGAGGCGCCTCCGTCTATGTCATATGATCCAGTCTCATCATCGCCACGCTTTTGGATCCTGTAGTGGTTCACTTTGTTGCCTCTATCGGAGTCGTAGTCAAGAATCGATATTGAGAAAGCACCTGTGAAGGAAAATACTTCAAAGATTATCATTCAAAAAAAGGAATGAAACCCTGCACGTAAAAAAGAATTCAGATGAACAACAAGTAAGTTTTGGTTTCGACCATATTGGCTCATAGGTTTAGCATGGCAAAACATGTATGGTATATAGCTACTTCATACTTCACTGTTACAGCATGACTGGAGATAATTATGGAACCATACAAGGAGGTTCCTGTAAGGTACATCATAAAACGTTATACGATGGCTTAAAGTGAACATGCATGAGTGTACAATTTACTACTATTACACAATGTATAGTGTCCCGCTTTGGAGGTCGAAGGCAATATCACAAACTTGTTTCATGCACAGAACAAGGACAATCAACTTGTCGTTATACCTGGGTTGCTCTCACTATCCCTGACAATGAACATTCCTTGCTGGACACCAAGCTGTAGCAGTTTCTTCTCAGCTTCAATGCGACTTATATGGCCAAAGTACCACCTGGTTAGAATTGGGGAGAATCTCTGAGTCAAATGCAAAGGTTTATAACTAAAAAAAATGTAGACAAAAATAACTTGTCATTTGATCAGAATAATGGAACTCAAAAAATCTTATGGATTTATGACTTTCTTTGGCCGTATGGGGGACAGCATGTCCCCTGTCCATGCGTTTAAAGATTTTTGTTTGTTTGTTATTTGTGTGTGTTTAAACAAAAATAGTGCAGTGCCCGTCTGTAATGTGAATGTTTGGGAAGCGCAAATTCCTTTGCTGCTGGTAGACTGTTGGTTGCATGCTTGTAGAGTTTTTGAGAACTGCTCGCGTGCAAACAACGCACGCGATTCAATGGTGTTGTTTTCACAGGTTGAACGCACACTCACGTCAAAGTTGGTGCCAAGTTTGAAGTTGTTTGGGTGAGTTGTTCTCGAAAAACTGTAAAAAATAACGTAGATATTCACCCCTACTGGACAATGGTATCGACCTGCAGTAAGATTGCTCAGTCGACCGCCTACAATGGTCGCTCAGTCGACTGCAAAAAATAACGTGCCCGTGCAGCCACCATATACGTAAACATGGTATGCAGTGCTATTCACCCAAACTGGACAATGGTATCGCCCTATAATGCACGTGCACGTGCCCGTCCTCTTTTGCATTGTTTGCGTCATATTGAGCACGCGCGCTTTAGCTTTACATGACGTAAACAATTGAAAAGAACGGCAGTGCGTGGTATTATGTTCTAAGCTATATACTGGCACGCTTTTTCGAGAACCGCTCATCCAAACCACTTCAAACTTGACACTGCACATTCTGTTGTTGTGATGTATTTCTAAAACTGAACACCGCCCTCTGTTGGTTACATTAAAGTTTCTGGAATGATCGTGTCTTGTGTGAAGTTACTCTAGATTAACTATACATTTGTGGCTGCTCGTCAGCGAATAACTTTACATGGTGTCATAAAACGGATCATAAAAGTCGCAATGTCAGGCCTGAAACCACCGGGACAGTTGCAGCTGGAAGGGAACTTGGCGAAAAACTGGAAGGAATGGGTGCGTTCATTTGAACTGTACGCTATGGCAATGGAACTGCAGAAGAAACCGGGGCCAGTGCAGTGTGCAACGTTTCTGCACGTGGCGGGCCCAGCGGCACAGCGTGTATATGCGACACTGACGTTCGCGGACGACGAGAAGGACAAACTGCAAGTACTTAAAGCCAAGTTCAAACAATACTGTGAACCCAAGAGAAACCTGTCAGTACTGCGATACATGTTCAACTCGAGAAACCAGAAAGTGGATGAGCCGTTGGACACATACTTGACAAACGTGAAATGCCTGGTGAGGGAATGTGAATTTGGTGACATTGAGAATTCCCTCCTTCGAGATAGAGTTGTGTGTGGTGTAAAGGACACAAAAACACGAGAAAAACTGCTTCAGGAAGATAACTTGACCCTGGAAAAGTGCATCAATATCTGCCAGGTCAGTGAAATGAGCGCCACACATGTGAAAGCCATACAGGCTGAACTGGATTTGACCCAGCAAAAACAGGAGGTTAACCGGGTGACGTCCACTAAAGCCAGACCTCCGACCAGAGCTGCAAGTCGCAAGGACATGTCAAATAACAACGCAAAAAATGGAGCAAAATCACGGTGTGACTTCTGTACTTACGTACACTTTGCAAACCGCTGTCCTGCAAAGTATGAGCAGTGCAAATCGTGCCATAAAGTTGGACATTTCAGCAAATCGAGAATATGCAAAGCCCAACACAAGTCGCGGCCAAAGATGGTCAGGAAAGTCAACGAAAGCAGTGATGACGATGAGGACAACACGCAGTATGATGTCGCTGGTGTCAACCTACAGGAACCAAGAAAACAACTCGAGGACCTGATGATAGACTACATCGCTGGACAAGAATCAGGCGACTGGACTGAAACCTGTCAAATTGGGAGAAACAAGGTGGACTTCAAGCTTGATTCAGGATCTCAAGCGGACATTCTACCAGAAGACTGTTTCAAAAACACTGGACTGGCATTGCTTCCCAGTAATGCATCTCTCAAATCCTATTCAGGGCACAAGATTAAGGCATTAGGAAAGACTATAGCCAATTTGAAGGTTGGTACAGGTACCGGTTGCACCACACAACAAGTTGTTTTTCAAGTGGTAAGCGGAAATGTAAAACCTATCTTAGGTCTGAAAACATGTCAAAGGCTAGGATTGATTAAGAGAGTAAGAGTAGATGTAGTGGTTAGTGGTAGTGCGCAAAATGTGCCAGTGCATAGCAACATCACGTTCACAGAACACAATGATTTGTATGAAGGGCTAGGGAAACTGCAAAACCACGAATATGAGATTGAATTGAATGTAGATGCTGCAGTTGCATATGACCTGCACCAGTTCAAAACCCTCCACGCACTATTCCTTACACATTGCGCGACAAAGTGAGGGCTGAATTAGAGCGTATGGAAAAACTTGGGGTCATTGCGCGTGTGGAAGAGCCCACAGACTGGGTCAGTTCCATGTCAATAGTTGGTAAACCGGATGGCAGTGTGCGCATTTGTCTTGACCCGCGAGAGCTCAATAATGCCATAAAGAGAGCCCATTACCCTATGCCAGCCCTTCGAGATGTTGCAGCGCGCATGCCACAGGCTAAGGTGTTTTCAAAGTTTGACGCTACAAGTGGTTATTGGCAACTTCCTCTCACACAAAGAAGCTCGTACTTGACAACATTTAACACACCCTTTGGAAGATTTCGATATATGGTTCTACCATTCGGCATCTCGTCGGCAAGTGAAATTTGGCAGCGCGCCATGGTCACTGAATTTGGGGCACTTGAAGGGGTTGAAATTGTTGTCGATGATATCTTAGTTTGGGGTGAAAACACAACTGAGCATGATGAGCGAGTAGCTAAGTTCCTTGAAAAAGTCAGAGAATCAGGACTTAAACTCAATAGGAAAAAGTCTGTCATTGGCACAGACAAACTTGAATATGCGGGTCATGTGATTTCTGCAGAAGGACTCTCGCCAAGTCCAGCGCGTATCCAGTCTGTATTGGAAATGCCAATCCCAACTAACAAACATGAGCTTGAAACCTTTCTCGGCATGATCACATACGTTAGTAAGTTCATTCCCAATCTTTCTGAAATCACTGCGCCGTTGCGACAGCTTACCGAAAAGCAAATAGCTTGGCACTGGGATGAAAAACACACAAAAGCCGTGGAAACACTCAAGCATATTATAACATCAGCACCAGTACTGATGTTATATGATGTGAATAAGCCGGTCAGCTTGGCCACTGATGCATCCAAGCATGGGTTTGGATCAGTATTGATGCAAGATAATAACAGACCAGTGGCATATGCATCGCGTAGTACTAGTCCTGCTGAAAAAAATTACGCGACTATTGAAAAGGAGATGTGCGCCATTCTCTTTGCGTGCCACAAATTCCATGACTATATCTTTGGGAAACAGACAACAGTGATCACAGATCATAAGCCATTGGTAGGAGTGTTCCAAAAGCCATTGCATAAGTTGAGCCCACGATTGCAGCGTATGCGCATGCACCTACAGAGATATGACCTCAGTGTACAATGGCAACCAGGTAACACAATGTTTGTGCCAGATGCGTTAAGCCGCATAATAAATAGCAGAGGCGACAACATCTCAGAGTTTGATGACTCGCGGGAAATCAACATGATTATAAGACAACTCCCAATTACTGAGTTACGATTGCAGCAATTCCGTGAAGAAACAGCCGCAGACCCCACACTTGCGAAGGTCAAAGGTCACATTATGAATGGCTGGCCTGTTGATAAACACCACTTGACAAGTGATGTTGGCCCATACTATGCAGTCCACAATGAATTAGTGTTTTGTGATGGCATTATTTTTCTTGGCAACCGGGTTGTAGTTCCGCGAAACATGCAGAAGGACATGCTTAAGAAAATCCATGAGTCTCACCTAGAGATAGTGAAACTCAAACAGAGAGCACGAGCCATCTTATACTGGCCGGGCATGAATTCGCAAATTGAAGACATGTACGGTAGCCAAGTGTGCTATCTGTCAGTCAAGTAGGAAAACTCAACCTGCTGAACCAATGATACAACATGACATACCTGACAGACCATGGTCTAAACTAGGTGCAGATGTGTTCCACTTAGGAGGAGTGAACTATCTGCTTGTAGTCGACTACTACTCCAAATTTCCAGAAGTACAGGCCTTGCAAGATCTCACAGCCCATTCGGTCATACATGAATTGAAAATTATATTTGCCCGCTCCGGTACACCAGATCTGTTGATTACTGATAATGCAAGTCAATTTGTATGCGAAGACTTCAGAACTTTCCAAAACACGTGGGAGTTCAGGCATGTCACGTCTAGCCCAAGGTACCCACAAAGCAATGGGCAAGCCGAGCGCTGTGTTCAAACAGTGAAAACACTCATGAAAAAGGCTAAGGTGTCTGGCAGGGACCCTTATATGGCACTGCTGGAATATCGCAACACACCCCTCGATTGCACAGAGGGTTATGCACCAGCACAATTACTCAATAGTCGCTTGCTCAAAAGCCGACTTCCCACTTCATCGACTCTTCTTCAACCACAAGTAGTCCCACCCATGAAAGCCAAACTCAAAGAGAGACAGACTGTGCAAAAACACTACTATGTCGCAAAATGTAGTAAGCCAAAGCGCACACTACACACGGGGGAACAAGTTAGATTCCAAAATCCGCACAGCCAATGGGTGTTAGGGAAAGTGACAGAAAAACATGATAACCCTAGAAGCTATATGATTGCGACACAAACTGGACAGGTGTATAGAAGAAATAGGCGTCACATTGTTCACTCCAAAGAACATGCTGACATTGAAGGGAATTCATTGTCTCAGCCCAACCTAGTCTCTCCTAGCACACAGAATGAAAATATCCATCAGACTGCAGAACCTGAAGAACCAAGTGAGACAAAACAACATAGTGTAAAATATGATAGCGTGACTGTAGGTCAGACTACTACTACTAGAAGTGGCAGGGTAGTAAGACCAACTCAAAAACTTGACCTGTAAGCTGAAGATGTACTACAAATTGCATGGACAGTAAATAACAGATTTGTGGCTTTTTGAAGATGGTCTAAATTCATGTACTAATGCTTGTGCTTTTTTCAAATTTGCTCTATTTGCTTTAATTCAAACACCTTCCATAGTTCGCTAATCCTCCCTTTGGTAAATCACATTTTGCAGTTTTCCCTTATAAAGTTCAGTAACACTTTGCTCAAGCTTATTGTTTGTTTCCTACATGTACATGTAAGTCCCCAAAGTTCAACTTGTTTAATGTTTACTTAATTTGTATGGGGGAGATGTGATGTATTTCTTAAACTGAACACCGCCCTCTGTTGGTTACATTAAAGTTGACCTTTCGGGGTTCACCAGCTTGTTCTGGAATGATCGTGTCGTGTGTGAAGTTACTCTAGATTAACTATACATTTGTGGCTGCTCGTCAGCGAATAACTTTACAGTTGTCCCGAGCAATACACCCGCCGATTTTCAACTTTGTACGGTGCCCGGTTCTGGAATTGCGTGTGTTGTTTGCACGAGCAGTTCTCAAAACTCTGCAAGTATGCAACCTATACCAGCGGCAAAGCAATTTGCACTTCCCGAACATGCACATTTTAGACGGGCACTGC